ATTCTCAACATTTCTCCAATCTCTAAGGAATGGGAATTATTTAGTAATTTTGTAAAAAAAACTGAGTAACTATTTCACCTTTTTTACTCTAAATCTCACCAAAAAACTATTTGATTCATCCAATGTCTATTTCGGTTGCAAAAAGCGAACTTATAATAATGAAAAGAAAGGGCATTGCGTATTTATTCATGCCAAAAATTCACTAAGGGACCGTGCAATATTTATCAGGTGCAAATTCTGGTTGAATGTATTAAAAAGTGAATGTCCTATACTGATTTGGGCTGTAAAAACTCAATGTCCTATGACTTGCATGCAGAAAAAAAGTATATGTCCTATTAACTTTATCTGAATTAATCTGGCACTATATATATATAAGTGATAGGATTTCCTTAGTGATGGTTGTTTTTCCTGTAGTCATCAATGAAAACTGTTTTTGAAAATTGTTAAAGTATGTACACGATCAATAATACAACAAAACTAGAGGCTCTCAAGAGCCTGTGTCTACTGTGGTTTTGGAAATCATGTAAAATAAGGTTAAAATCATATTAAATAGTATTAGATACCCTAATAATGATTGAGGCCAAGTTTGGTTTAATTCAGCCCAGTAGTTAAATTTAAAGCAGGTCATCCCGTTGTAGTCTTACAATAGTTACTGAAGACCCTTTATCATTATTTGAATTAGTTTTCAAGTTGTGACCATTTGAAATTGTTTTTTTACAATTTTCCCTTAGATTTCTATAGTAAACCCTTATGTTCTTTTTTTAGCCATGGCGGCCATGTTGGTTGGATGACACGGTCATCGGATACATTTTTCAATCAAGATACCCTATTGAAAATTGTGGCTTAGTTTAAATCTATTTGGCCCAGTAGATTAAGTGGAAAAGACTTCTGTAAAAGATTACAAAACTTTACGAAAAATTGTGAAAAAATGGGTCAATTGAAAATTTTGATCATGTTGACTTATTTGTAGAGCTTACTTTGCTGAACATTTTTGCTGTTTAGAGTTTATCCCTATCTATCATAATATTCAAGATAATAACCAAAAACTGCAAAATTTCCTTAAAATGACCAATTCAGGGGCAGAAACCCAACAACAGGTTGTCTGATGCGTTTGAATATTGCAGGGCAGATAGATCTTGACCTGATGAACATTTTTACCCCATGTCAGATTTGCTCTAAATGCTTTAGTTTCAGAATTATAAGCCAAAAACTGCATTTTACCCCCCATGTTCTATTTTTAGCCATGGCGGCCATCTTGGTTGATGGGCGGGGTCATTGGAAACATTTTTTAAACTAGATACCCTAAGGATGATTTAGGCCAAGTTTGGTTTGATTTGGCCCAGTAGATTCAGAGGAGAAGATTTTTGTAAAAGATTACAAAAAATTACGAAAAATTGTGAAAAATTGACTTTAAAGGGCAATAGCTTCTTATGGGGTCAATTGGCAATTTGGGTCATGTTGACTTATTTGTAGAGCTTACTTTGCTGAACAATTTTGCTGTTTACAGTTTATCTCTATCTATTATATAATATTCAAGATAATAACCAAAAACTGCAAAATTTCCTTAAAATTACCAATTCAGGGGCAGTAACCCAACAACGGGTTGTCTGATGCGTATAAAAATTTCAGGGCAGATAGATCATGACCTGATGAACATTTTTACCCCATGTCAGATTTACTCTAAATGCTTCAGTTTCAGAGATGTTAGCCAAAAACTGCATTTTACCCCCATGTTCTATTTTTAGCCATGGCGGCCATCTTGGTTAATGGGCGTGGTCATCGGAATGCAATTTTTTAAACTAGATACCCTAAGGATGATTTAGGCAAAGTTTGGTTTAATTTGGCCCAGTAGTTTCAGAGGAGAAGATTTTTGTAAAAGTTAACGGATGACGACGACGACGGACGACGGACGACAGACGATGGACGACAGAAGACGGACGCCAAGTGATGAGAAAAGCTCACTTGGCCCTTTTGGGCCAGGTGAGATAAAAAAAAAGACATTTAAGATTGTAGTTAAGTGAAATTTAAAAAATCTGGAATTTAAAATTGATACTATAAATCAGAAAAGCATAAGTTTATATGGAACAGATAAGCTGAAAATATTGATAGGATATGGAACTCCTTTTCGAGATATTTGATGTTTAAAAAATGGGGAGAAAGCTTTCTCTGGACTTTTACCGTATATTTTTATATTAAGCATTGGCATTAGTTGGGCTTCAGATAGTAAGAAAGGAAATCTAGAATTAATAAATGGAGAATGTGTCCATGGGCCACAAATGCCCCCTCTTGTAAATATGCATGAGTCAACTTCCACATACAGATGCAGGATTGGATTGACGTAGTTAATACCGTTTTGCGATTATAAGCATTGTGTATAAGTTTCATATTATTTGGTTGAGGCAAACTAAGGTTAGAGAACGGAAACGACAGATTTACAATTTTTCCATTTATAAAGGGGAATAACTCAAGAACTTCAAACTTGATCTGTGTTTTGTGGTAATAAGCATTGTGTATAAGTTGTATAACATTTGGTTGAGGCAAACTAAAATTAGAGAACGGAAACGAAAAATTCAGCAATTTTTATGTTTATAAAGGGGCATAACTCATGAACGGTAAAAGTGATGCCACCCAATTTCAAACTTATTTGATCTGTGTTTTGTGATAATAAGCATTGTGTATAAGTTTTATAACATTTGGTTGAGGCAAACTAAAGTTAGAGAACGGAAACGAATAATTCAACAATTTTCACGTTTATAAAGGGACATAGCTTATGAACGGTAAAAGTGACGCCATCCAATTTCAAACTTGACCTGTGTTTTATGGTAATAAACATTGTGTATAAGTTTTATAACATTTGGTTGAGGCAAACTAAAGTTAGAGAACGGAAACCAATTTTGGGGACGTACGGGACGGACGGACAAGGGTAACACTTAATGCCCCCTCCGCTACGGCGGGGGCATAAAAATGAGTTAACTTCATATGAATATGAAGATATCATGTATTTCCATGATAATATATTAAAGATGATTAGTTATGCCAAAAAATAAAGAGCATATATGGCATACTTGAACATTTATAAAATTTGCCAATCAAACAATTACCATTGTAAATAATTACTAAATATCATTTTAGTGTGTTTCATTCTCAATTTTATTTTTATTATAAAGCACATGTATACTGAGAAAAAAAAGTTTAGAAACATATATTTTTAATTTAATATATTTTAACAAACAAACTACTAGTATACTTTTAAATATAACAAATAAATATAAGTTTACAAATACATGTACATAATATAAACTATTGTATTGATTGTACAAATGTTTCTTGTTTGGATATTTTAAATTAGTTAATAAAATGTTTTGTTTGATAGCAATAGTTTGAAAAATATCTTCATGTCCTATGGTCACCAAAGATGAAAAAAGTGGTGACCATATGCCTGAAGTGGATGAAAAATGTGTTTGTCCTACTGTGGTTTGCACCGGCCCCACCTGTCTGATAAATATTGCACGGTCCCTAAGCTCAAATAAAAATAAAACAAAAGCAAATGAACAGCGCTTTGATTGTTGTTATTAACCTCAAAGTCACAAAAAGCCTTCAACATGGAGTAAAACCTCACTGCAAGTTAAAGTTTGCCCTTAGCACCTGTTTTCAGTGGCGCTTTGCTAGACGTCGATCACGCAATGTCTGCGGGGTAATTATATAGATTATAGCTTGCACAGAAATACCGAAATAAATTAGCCGGCAGTATCACTGTAACATATAGAAACGATACGAACATTTATACAACCAAGGTACACAACACGATTTACACCAAGATGTCGTTAAATAAAAATGGATAACCTGCATTTATCATGCTTTTCAATAACATGTGATCAAATTGCTGAAAGACCCCCTCCTAAATTATTGAAAAGTCATTTTGCATTGACAATAATATGTTGGTTTAAATTAGATATATCCATTTGGGCTACTCAATGTGCATGTATATAATACATACATAAGATAATTTGACAGGGAATTGCTTTACACATTGTACATAAAGACGCTTACAAAAATTACTAAAATATTGGATAGTATAACAGATCACACAAACCCCTAACTTCCGACTTCTCTGACAAATAGACTTAAACCAGCAGTGAACAACATATGGTATAAAAAAGCCCGACTTTGCAAATACATTGTAATTCAAGAGGAAACTGCATAACAATTAATAAAAACGGCTGGTACACCACTGTTCAAGGTTAAGCGATCACAAACCTGTTTAACCTCGCAGGATTCTGTATCTGCCTTTTTTCAAGTTAAAAGTCATTAACTGTAAATCAGTGGTTGTCTTTGGTTGTTGTCTGCCATATTTGTTTTTTAATTATTGTTTTTAGCATAAATCACGTCGATGGTTTTCTTTTTTGAGTAGTTTTACATTTTGTCATACCGGGGCATTTTATACATATAGATTACTATACGTTATGGGTTTTGCTCATTGTTGAATGCCGTAAGGTGACCTATTATAGTTGTTTACATCGATCTCGTCCTATGGTGGACAGTTGTCTCATTGACAATCACACCACATCTTCTCGTTTCTATATTAAAAGCAAGAAAATGAAGTTTAACTGACAAAACTATAGGACCCTATAACTCAAGCACATGGAAACGTTTTACAGCCCCATCGTGCATGTTTTGATTTCTTTCCCGTGTTACGTAGTGTTTACTTTTTCATTCCTTCAATCGAGGTGAAATGGGGAGAACTGAGTGCGTAAAAAATAATTAAATGCATAACCCCGTCACAGAAGTGTCAGTGAGAAACCTTGTTGGTGGTCTTCTTTAGTTTACTTTTTATATCTATGCTGGTCAGCTTTACGGATTAAAAATGTATATGAAAAAGTTGAAATGTCACGTCATTTGTCAAAGTGGCTTGCCACATGTTCGACAAGCTATACCAACTTGTATTCTAGTGAGCTAACTAATACAATATTTTAGTCTTTGTTTTCGTAGTTTCATTATAGGAATACAGTGAAACATGGGAAACCAAATGAGGAAAGACTTACCGGAAAAAGACTTTGAATATCTAGAAAAACATACAGATTTCCGGAAACCGGATATTATGGAGTTTTATAAAGAATTCATGGTGAATAGCTTCAAACTACATGCATGTAACATATGACAAACACATACAAATGTTGTTCTTATTTTTGCCACGATAAATAGAAGATCGATTTTTTTTTTATTGATCAGCTATTTTACAGTATTAGTTTTATTTAAATTTTTCATTCATTTAATTGTATAAAGAGAGATTCTGAAAATGGAAATGACTATTACAATGTCCGATAAATCTGATATACTATATTACGTCTAAATTAAAACATTAGTTAGACCCTCGTCAGCATTGAGACTTTTTAGGATGGAAAAATGGGATTTAAATTAATTAATCAATTTTATAAGCATTACAGATAATGGTAGCCGGGCTATAGATTACAATGATTGTAAAATAATGGTTACTAGTATTAAATATAGTCAATAGTGTTTTGAATGGATGAGAGAGACTTTTGAATCAAATCAGCAAGCAGAAAACCCTTTGCAACCAACAATGAAGTCTTAGTATTTGTTTGTGGGCTTGACAAGTGAAATTATAGCTGGATGAAAATTGACGACATCTTTTTCAAAGTTTCCCGTTTCACGATATTTGTAAACCTTCGCATAGTTTGTATCTCATTTCAGAAAATCAATCCGGATGGAAATATGAAACTTGAAGCTTTTCAAGACTTTTTGAAAGGTTGTTATAAAGAAAATAGTTCCGAATTCGCTGAACGTTATTTTCATGCTGCAGATAAAGATAAAAGTGGGAAAATAAATTTTAAAGAATTTTTATTATTCTTGAACCATGAATGTACTTCAGATCCAGTGGAAAAACTGAATTGGGTGTTCGATTTATTTGACATTGATGGCAACGGTACCATTGAAAGACCAGAAATGATTAAAATTTATAAGGTAACAAGTATATTCTGTATATTCAGCTATATACATTTTGAATTCATTCACACAAATAAACACATTCACGCGCACAGGTACAGCACAACACATTTTTTTTAAAAACATAATACAATTTTTACTTGTCTGACAAGAATATTGTGACATTTCATCAAAAATATGCATACACTGTGCATGCCAGACGTAAAACGTTCTACAAAAAAAATGCAACCAACTCGTAAGTGGACAACAATCTGACAATGCCATGGCAAAAAACGAAAAACGATCAAATGACAGTGTATAAGACACAAAATAGAAAACTAATTAAAGACTGATTAATACAAAACCTACTAAAAACTATGGGTGATATCAGGTGCTCCGGACGGGTTTACAGATCCTGCTCCACATGTTGCATCCATCGTGTTGCTCCTATAAGTACAAACCTGGCGATAATGTATTATTCGTTGGGTCATATTTAAGGAAAAGAGGATGGAAATGTGGTTACGAAGATTGAAACATATTTGTCGTCATCTGTGAAACAGATATTCCATAATGTTCAACCAACTCTTGATGGCGTCCGAAAAATTTTCAAGGGATGATTTCAACTTCAGCACTCGGAATTCTTGATTTAATATCCTTTTTGTAAGCACCAACCCTCTATCAAGGAAATCATGACAGGAAATGCAAGCTCTGGAATATCACTTAGGAGATATATACTCCATACTTGGAAATTTAAGAAACAGGAAGACTATCGAATGCAACCACAACATATAACTTTACCAAGTCAGTTGTAATAGAAACAGGAAATATTATCAATAAATTCAGAACCGCATGTGTTCAGAATTTCTTACCCAATTTGGATTTTATTCTAGTTTGGCTGTCATTCGTATCTAGCAGTTATAGTTACTTTTAATCTTCGGGGTACTAAAACGAGTGATTCACATGAACGCTTACAATGGCAACTTGTACATTTAACGCCAACACCATCAATCTCTACACTTGAATTAGGCAATGGCTTTTTTATAAAATAGTTTTAAATGGTGTTGTTGAAGCAAAGTTCAAATTATCAAATTCAAAAGCCGTTGAAACGTAATAATAACGTGAAACAAGTTTTGTTTTCAAATAAAGGGAAAATGTTCTACCAACTTTTATTCTCTATCTCATGGCAGACTATATTTCGCTGCCTATGTTGTTGAATAACTAAAAGTTGTTCTTTTCGCAGAACCAAAGGACATTGCTCTTGAACAACAAGTGAGCTGCGTCGGATAGAAATCGACTTTATGCAAACGATGTCAACAGTGGCGGATCCAGGAGTGGGGGGGGGGGGGGGGGGGGGGTTTCCGGGGGTTGGACCCCCCTTTTTTTGGACGATCAATTCATTTGAATGGGGACATGTAGTTGGAACCCCCCTTTTTATCCTGGGTTGGGACCCCCCCCCCCCTTTTTTTTTAAATGGTTGGATCCGCCCCTGGTCAATACATCTGTTAATCTATATATAATGTTAAGTACAAGTATCTTAAACTCGACAGATATGTACTCATAAACAATTGTTGGTACACTATAAGTTCAATCTCTTTTATTTTAGTTTTATTGAACACCAATCAAAATAAAACAAAGAAAAGGACTGTATTGTAGCAAATCTAAAAGTATTTCTGAGCTAGCATACTTACATTTATTACAACTTCATTAAATATTTTCTGTGATGAAGGTCTGTTTTTCTCCTCTACGAAAATTGCATGAATTTGAAGTTTAACATTTTATAACATATTATAAGAGTAAATTGGTTCCTTTAGTTCTTTTTGCCTTCCTATTTCAAGGTTAAATTTTGGTATTATACATTTTATTTGCAGACAGTTAAAGATTTAAGGAAGAAACGATCAAAATACGACCCAACTCCAGGACAAATAGCCGATAAAATGTTTGAGATATGCGATAAAAACGTTGACGATAAACTAACAAAGGTAGAATTTATAACTACATTTATGGAAGATCCTGTTTTGTTTGCAATATTCTGTGGAAATATGACAGAAGACGACGAAGAAGACACGTGAAATCTTAGGTTGTCTGTATATTATGATTAAGATGATTCATGAAAATGACAAAAAGATTGCTTTTACATTAAAACTTATTCTGCTTATAAAATTTGCAGTTTCGGTATTTATAAGTTAAAGGTTTGTACGTAGTCCTATATATTTAAACAGTAAATGGAGTGTCCGGTATTTCTTTTAAGAGAAGTCCGGTCTTGCGACATAACTTAAATATAGTGTTTAAAATTACTTAATCGCCGTGTATAGAACGGGGAAAAAATCGCAAAAAGTAGTTTTTTATCCTGAAACTTGCATATGAAGTCTCAAAATCGTCAACACGGAAAACTGGAGAGAGGTGTTTGAGAAAACGAAGCACTGGAAACATTTGCTTCTGCTTGCTGGAAATAGATTATGGTTGATAATGGTTCGGTTCCTTCCGTGCAATACATTATTTTGTGCTAACAATTCTCAAAAAAGAAATTTTGATACTTTTACTTACCTTGATCGCTTTTTCTCCGCTTCAAAACCGCAACCCCGTGTCAAACATGTGGCGTTCTACACGGTGTTAATGTACAGAGTCTACCACTCCTTCAAGTGTGAAAAACTGAAGTATTAACTAAAATACAGAACTTAAGGTAAATTCAACAAAGTTGAAGTCCATAAAACCTGACAAAAATAAACACTAGACTACATCAACCAACGGAACGAATGGAACACAACTTTCATATTACTCACTTGGTACAGGCACTTTCCGAAGAAAATAGTAGGTAAAACCTAGATCTATATAGCTAGCTAAAGCTCCCACTAGTATGAAAATTGTATATAGTTCCGTTGTATTTACAAAAATGGATGAGTAACCCAAACAGACATAATTGGTTAACGTGACACTAGTTGGGATCCAGCAGCCAAAACTCTGTAAACATACACCACAGACACAACACAACTGACTAAAACATTCAAACAAATATACAAATAAATCTAACAAAGAAGGCAACAAAAAAGTGTTTGTAGTTGATAGAACATACAGTATAGTTAAACATAATGACATATACACTTTCCTGATAAAGTACAAATTTAAAAAATATAAATACAAGGGTAAAAAAAATTAAAACATCACTATAAAAGCATCCGAATCGCACCGCTGGACCAATCCCTACAGAACACCCAAAGCACAAATACCGAGTCACGTCAAGAGTCATACGACCAAAACGAGCATAATAGTACAAAGAAAAAAAAAAGGAAAACTGTAAAGTAAATAATTTATTTTTCAATATCATTCGTTCTTTTATTAATTTCAATTGAGTTTCGTCAAAGGAAGGAATGATTTGAGCTAACCCCGTGTCAAATTTACATTTGACAAACCTGTCTTTTTTCAAATTTCATCCTAGCCCTCCCCCCCCCCCCATAAAAATCAAATGGTAGCTCCCTAAGATTCCTTTTCGACTGGGAATCGAATGAAATAGGTCTACATTGTATATCCAGTTTTTTTGTTGCCAAATCTTGAAGGTGAAACAAATTTAAAACAATAAAAAATGAGCCACTCACCTGCATCCTTCTTGGCTTGGCAATTTTCTCTCCTGACATCAGTTGAAATCTAAAAAAAATCTGGTCGTTACAGCACCTTATTATACCATGTGACGTAATAATTTTTTCTAAACAAATATTCATATAACTCTTAATGTCTCGATGCAGACGAGAGAGGTGTAAAACAAAGTTAACCCAGAAGCACAAATGTTTCTTAATATTAGCTGTATAACATATTGGTGGTCATAGTGTGGTCCTTAAACAGTATTGTTTAAACTAGTTGTTCTGCAGGACAAACACATGCTATGTGGCACTTCTGAAATAAATAATAATTTTATTGAAAATCGATTAAGGATCTGGAAACTAATATATGTGCATGTATGTTAATTAAGATCATGGCTTCCTAATTGATACTAATGTAGAACAATCTGTGTGTTCATCTTCAAGGCTATGTAATTGTCATCTGGCATTATCGTTTGTCTGATAACGGGGTTATAGTGTTCATATATTATAAAGTGCAACATTTACACATGCTATGTTACACTTTTCCGCTCCGATCTAATACAAATATTTATGTACATATAGTAGAATAAAAGACAATTTTCCATAAATCGATTACATTCTATTGATGTATATGGTATAGCGGTTCTGACTCCAATTTTGTTTAACAGTAACACAATGTTGGTGCCACTGGACGGTTGAGTAAGTTTTGTCTTCCCGATAGGGTTAAACTTGAATGATTTGAATGATTTCAATCTAATTAAAATAAAATATAGATCTCGGATTTCGTTATACTACGTTAACGTAGTAGTATAACGAAATCCGAGATCTATATTTTAATTAGATTGGAATAATTAAATATTATTGTAAACTATCCTGAATTTAGTTTTTTTTTAATCCTATGTATAACGACAAATGTTTACAGTTTCTAGGTGATAATATATGCGCACAATTAGTTATAGTCTATACATTAACACTGTTCTAAAATTTATACTGCACTCGTTCTATTTGAGCAGTCAAAATGCGTTGACTGTATATTTCTATGTCATATACAGTCACTGACCCGATATCACTTTTCCTCATGAATATTTAAATAGAAGTTGCCGGAACTATATCTAATTATTCATACGACCTCTTCAACCTGTTCTTGTTTCCAATGAATACAATGAAGCGTGGAACGACCCAAACTTATTTCTTTTGCAATTTTTGGAAAAACATATTTCACTTGTTAATATTTTTTGTTTGAAACTATAAATCATTATGTTTTATGCTTATTGTTGATATTTTAGTCCATACTCAAACGAATTGAATTCGTTCACCATCGATTGCGGGTTTCAACAGGTAATGTACATTTCATTGCGTTGTCTATTTCTCCGCCTGATACCGGTATGAGGCCTTTTCAAAGGGGGATTTTTCCCAATATTTAAATCAAATAAAAAACATTTACACATTAAACAACAATTGAAAATGTTTTTTTCTAGATTGCAGTATAAAGACAATAATAGTGCATTGACTTGACATATCAACGATATAAGGATTCGGCCCGAAACGGGGAAAAAGCTCGGCAGAGCCTCGCATTTCCCCGTTTCTAAGCCTCATCCTTATATCGTTGATATGTCAAGTCAATGCACTATTATTGTCTATATATACAAAAAAACTGGATATACAATGTAGACCTATTTCATTCGATTCCCAGTCGAAAAGGAATCTTAGGGAGCTACCATTTGATTTTTATGGGGGGGGGGGGGGGGGGGGAGGGGGGAGGGCTAGGATGAAATTTGAAAAAAAGACAGGACAGGAGTTTTGAGTAAAAAAAAAAGGCAGGACACCACATGTAGAGCAGGATCATGCCTACACCCCCTGTTTTGGGTTGGGGATTGTGTTGGTCAGTCTTTAGATTTTTATGCAGTTTTGTAGACGTCGTCGTTTTTCGTGTTTTGCCATGATTTTGCCAGTCTCTGTTTAATTTATTAGTTTCGGGTGATCATTGCAAGTTCCAAAAAATAAGGTGAAAGACGCAATATGTGATGTCACAATCGAGGAAACGAGGACGGGATTCTGACTACAAGAGAAACATAGAGATCCATAACAATCCAACAAATCATGTTTGTGTCCCTCGAACTTTCGAATATCATTAACTGAACCAATTTTACAGCACCAGATGCGCCATCGACAATTAATATTTCTTCAGTGATGCTCATGGCCAAAATATTTAAAAGTCAAAAACCTAATACAAACGTTAAAGAGCTGATTAAACCAAAAAGGACCAAACAAAAAGTCGACCTGGACAAGGAATCCGAGCTATGCATGAGGGAGATACATTCCTTAATTTAAGATGATTTTGAACTTTAATAACAGCAAGTTTAGATAAAACAATATATATATGTTCATGGTAGGGCTGAAGTACTGCGTAATAGCTCCTCTTATAGTAAAATTATGTTCTCGATCTAATTTTATTTCCAAAATGATTAGTCGTCAAATGGTATATGCTGTCGAGTAAGGTACATGTTTATCAGATCATTATGGAACCAAAATTCAAACTATTATATATGGCTTAAATGTCAGATGTACTCGGTGCCATCATTTTGTGGGAAACGCGTTAATGTCAAAGTTCTTCTACTCTATTTCCTATACAAATATAAGAAAATGTGGACTTTACGTCAATGAGATAGCAACACAACATAAAAAACCCAAAGGACCACTAAAGGACAAGGTGCAATCTTTAAACAATACATAGATGTGTCTGTGAAAAGGAACCTTCCAAATGTTTGAGAAGTAGTTTCATGGCGAAAATCTGGGTCTTTCGTTACGAAGACATCTCATGCTTGGGAGGGGAGCTTTACACAACCGTCATTATGCATCATGCATATTTTGGCTTTGAAAGGATTATAAAGGGAATGCAAAGTTTCTCCAAGAAAGACTAAGCAGTCAATGGAAAAATATATGGCCAAAGCAAATAAGTAGCGAGAGGCAGATAGAGATATGAACTGATCATGAGCAAAGGAAAGACAGGAAAGTCACGTATAGTGTACATGTACATAAATGTCAAATCATTTAGTACCATACTAGATTGTTATGTGTAAAATATTTGTATATTGTATGTTAATTTAAAGTTTTGAAATTAGCCCGATTACCTCAGCCGATTACAAAACATTTAATGTTCTTTCCCAATTTTCAAAAGAAAAAAGAAAATTGCAACACAATTCAGATTTTTTAAATTAGTCAAATTAGATGCATTAAAAATGTATTTTAATTATAAATATTAAATCTATGGATTTTAATAATAATTTTTTTACAGTAAACAGATAAAGAGAGAGAGAGAGAGAGAGAGAGAGAGAGAGATGCGCTGTGAATTTTTTGTATCTTGATAACGGTTTAATGCTAGCCATGGATTATACCGGACTAATTTAGTATTAAGTGTGCATCTACTTAATCAAACAAGTACACAATGATTTAGTTACAGAGTCATATGCAAACATAACATTAAACAACGCAGTTATTTTGAAATGTGTGAGATACTAAACCAGTCTAAGTGACAACATATTTATCATCTTCCCATTTGGTGGTACAAGAACTATGGAAATATTCCTTGGGTTATTACTGCTGACTTTTAATGGATATCATATAGTGATCGGCTCAGATGATTTTTATTATGATACTTTTCCGAATGACTTTCTCTGGGGTGTGGCAACTTCATCCTACCAGATAGAAGGCGCGTGGAATGAAGGAGGTATCTTTATCATTTATATTGCTCTAATCAAAATGAATGTGTTGGAGAAAAATCTTGAAGTTTGGGAATACTAGTATATATATGTATATATATCTAATGTGTCCCGGTTATATAATTTCATCACTCTTTCTTTTGTTTATTTGAATTGACTGACAGATGTAGAACATATTTATCAAAACAAATAGGCTCTGTAAAGTGGCTTCTTCGAGATTGAAGGGCGGGAATCTTGTTGCCACCTAAAATGAAGGCATACTGTAAAGTGAAAGACATCTACACACGGAGGGGCCTTGGTCTAAGTAGTAGGACTACTGTATCAATAGCCTGTCAACACTGAGGTTATTATGTCGAATCCCGAACGTGGCAGGTGCGCTCGACTCCAATCTTAATTGACTGGGATTGTCAGTTTTTCTACCGAAGGTCGGTGGTTCTCTCCGGCTTTCTCAAATAAAAATACCGCCACGAAATAGCACAATAGTGCTGAAAGTGGCGTTAAACACCAATCAAGTAATCAATCATCTACACATGGTCATTTAACGTGCAGATATCGTTCTATCTTCAACCACGAGGGAGCGAATTTGATCATTTTAAAGAAAACAAGCAAGATTTGACATTTGAAAAAAAGTAACATATCTCACTTTGTACATCAACTTTCTAAAGGTAGAAACTGGATTAAACCATGTTAGGGGAGTGTTCAGAAGAGACGTATTAGGGAGGGGGCCAAGGAGGCCCGGTGTCCCTTTATGGAGCTTCATATATGATAAATGCATAGACGTTTTACAAGTATCACTCCAAACGTTGGCTTGGCAGGGAGCCCCCTTTTTCAAAAACATGGATCCGCACCTGGGTTGGGAGCACGCTTACATTTTTAACCCGGCGGCATTCTGTATGCGTCTGTCTCGAGTCCTCCAGTTTCCTATATGGGGTATTGGTTTTCTTCATTGTTGAAGGCCGTACGGTGACCTATAGCTGATTAAATCTACGTCATTTTGGTCACTGGTGGAGAGTTGTCTCACAGGCAATCATACCACATCTTTATTTTTAATTCTAATGGGACGAAGCTATCCTTTTGTACGACTTTCTTGAAAAGTTCCGCCAGTAAACACGTTAACAACATGACAAAACATATGTACAACAAAAGTATCAAGATAAAACAAAGCAATGTGACATTTTGAACCGTACTATAGACAATTAAGCAACTTTAATCCGGTTGATAAGACTTTTAGTCTGTATTTAGAAAACCGTATATGATAGTAGCAAGTATACCGTAACCATATGAACGTTTATGTTTTAGTTATAATGGTTTAATTTTTTTTTTATTATTGGAGTGCTGTGTCAATGTATATCCAAACATCTCCATTATTCGTGTATATCTACAGGAAAATCAGAACATATATGGGACAGATTTAGTCATGACAATAAAAACTGGCATAATGATACAGGAGATATTGCATGTGACAGTTATCATAAATATATGGAGGATATTCAACTGATCAAAAGTCTTGGGGCAAGTTCTACTTATTTAATGATAGACTTCCATTGAAAGAATTTAAGTTAGTAAGTTATTTCCCGTTAACCGCTATGACGAAGACAACCAAATAAAACTTGTAATACTGACCGCGAGACTTTAGAAAAAAAGACATTTTTGAACAATTTTCATTTGTTTCAGCCTTAACTTATATAATTACATGTAGTAGTAAGGATATTTTATCAGACTTGCTTGTACAATATGTTTGAATTTGGTTAAACATGTGTAGGTGGGACGGTAGTATTTACGTTCAGGAAACTAGGTTGCTCTTTTGTCCTTTTTATCCTGCAATCGACTTTTCTACTATACTAATACAGGTGTACAGATAACACGAAGCGATAAACGTATACTAGACGTTTATAGTCTCCTGGTATCCTGCTTCTGTTGCGAGCGAACGGTTATGTCAAATAACTGTTTACATCACAGTTCAATTTGGAGTCCTCATTGCGGTCCGCGTTAAAGCCATGTCGCTATTCTCTCTGTTTCTAAAGCTCGTCAAATAAATTTTATATTTTCCTACACTGTACGAATATTATATATATATATCTGAACACTGTGGTCGGACAAAAATTACTGCATCTTCTGCACATATTTTCTAAGCTGAGGGACGAATCAGGTGTAGAAAAATAAGAAATAATTTTACATACAGGTGGAAATGATTTTCGGGAATAGTTATAAATGTTGTATTAACTTCATGATAAAAGGCCGCAAAGCACTCGCGGTCTAAGGTTTATAAAAATAGCAGAAAAAGTAAATGGTCATCAAACATATTCACATTTACTTCTGAATATTATAATTAAAGTACTTCAGGTAAATGTGTATGTAGGTTCTGTATCGGTGTTACATGTAGAAAGTGGTCGGACAATTCTGAAAAGGCTGTAACTATGATCATATGTCCCAGGAAATACTACCGTTCCATCTATAATCGTTTTCAGTCTTCTCCTGGTCTCCTTTTTTGATTCGCATTGCGGTTTAACTGCACAAAGAATAAAAGAAAATACTTCATATTTGACAATTATTCTTACAGGTTGACTTTTACCGATTTTCAATAGCCTGGACACGAATTATTCCAGATCCAATAGCATATAGAACTGATAGAAACAAAAGCCTAAATCAACCTGGTGTCGATTACTATAATAATGTTATCAACGAATTAATTAAGTACAACATTAAACCTTTGGTGACACTCTATCACTGGGATTTACCACAAAGTCTTCAAGAGCAGATTGGAGGATGGAATAGCTCTGTAATAGTAGATTATTACAATGACTATGCAGACGCAGCATTTAAAACATTTGGCGACAGGGTACGTCATGTATTGTTAATTTATATATCAAATCTGATTCCGTTTGTTTATTATACATACATGTATAAATAATGTTTGAGTATTTCACTTTACGCATGTTGTGAGGTTAAAAAAAAATCATAAATCTGAAGACAACTCAAGTGTTCAATAAAGGTATTAAGCAGTTTCTGTTCTACTAAGCACAAATAAGATTATTAATGATTACACGTGGAAATAGGACATTTCAGAAATGGTTACCTTGAGAGTAAATTTTCATTGAAAGTTTATCTGAAAGAAAACTTGATACGTGAGTTAACTGTTAGTAGACAAAGTTGATTGCCAAACAGGCATATCCTAGTAAATATATATACTTATACGTTCCAGAAAGGTACATGCAATTAGAGGTCGGTCATTTAAAGACGTATCAACCGTATCATATACTTTGACGTATACGCATCTGCAGATTTACCAAAAAACATTATTTGATCCCGAGCTTTAATTGTATATACTTTCAATAATGCAGATGGGCAACTGATTAATTTCTAATGCTAGTATTTAATTGTGTAGCTGACTTAATTGTTGGAAAAGAGGGACGAAAGATACCAGAGGGACAGAGGGAAAACGTATAATAGTCTTAAGCTCGGGATCACTTAATAGTTTTTGGTATATCTGCAGATGCGTATACGTCAACGTATATGATACGGTTGATACGTTTTTAAATGACCGACCTCTATTAAAAATAGCTCATCAAAACTTATACTTTAAACAGGTTAAATATTGGATCACGTTTAATGAACCCTGGGTAATCTGCTGGATGGGACACGGTTCTGCGGAATATGCACCCGGTATCAAAGAACCTTCTGTAACACCGTACAGATGTGGTCATCACATTATCAAGTCACATGCAAAAGCATATGATACATACAAGCAGCGGTATAAAACTACACAGAAAGGTATCGTAGTTTTACAAATATCAGTTTTAAATGAGTTAATTTTGAGACAAATCTTATCTATATAGTTAAACTTTAATGGGGTAGATCTGGTTAAAGGGAGTTGTGTATTTAAATCAGTTAAGTATTTGTAATAGTTAGTTTCAATACTGCTTTTTACGCGTTCTTATAAACAGAATAAAGATAAGTTGTGATACTCAGAATTTAGAATATATATTTAGGAAATAGGTTGATCCTTATGTACCAGTAATTTTCAAAATTACCGCCTCACGCGATCTCCAAAATCGAGGGTTCAGTTAGACTATATGAACTATTGTTAACTTCTACGTCATTTGGCCTCTGGTGGAGAGCCGTCCAATTGGCAATCATAATTTTATTTAGTAACCACATCATATAAGTTTTATATAAATTGTAACCAAATTAAAGATAGTTCGGGAACCGACCATTCATTTTTTTATGGGGAGGAGGCATGGTTTTTTTTCGCTCGGGAAATTTTTGTTTCCCCTTTAATATTTTTTTTCAATAACATACAGAAACAACATTTTTTTAACACATTATTCAATTTATTTTCTTCTTATCTTTAATCGAAACCAACAATTATTTTCACGTTCCGACCCTTCTGTAACAAATTAATGACCCCTTTCTATTGTTATATACATTGTACTTCCTTTTTATTGGACATTTCATGGTACGTATAATTAATCTCCTTTAAACATCTCCCTTGATTATCCCAAATGTATTTAGATACGCATTCGCATTCTTTTTTCATATGTTAATCAAACTGCAAGATTTTTATGTGCATTTAAAACCTTCCTCCCTCTTAATTCACACTTTTAGGGGGAACATATTGAGATGATTTGCGACAAAATGCTGAGGTAATCATCAAAATTTGTAGAATCAAATATATATATCTCGTGTAGGTATTGTGGGAATTACGATGAATTCTGATACTATGCACCCTAAAAATGAAAGTAATCAAGAACACATAGATGCTGCAGAGCGTGGACAACAGTTCATGCTTGGTTGGTTTGCTCATCCTATATACAAAGATGGTGATTATCCTAATGTTATGAAGGACAACATTGGTGATCGTTTGCCTAAGTTCACCCCACAGGAAATTGCACTCAATAAAGGTTTGTCGTCTTTTAATTATGCATGTACTTTTGAAACGTAGATGATTCTAATCTGAGCAACTTGTAAGATTTTTTTAATCATAACTGAGGCTCTGGATATGGTTTGCAAACACTTTTAAAAAAAAACTTAAAATCTATTAAAAAGAATAATTTAATTTGGATGTAACACGTCTTCTGATTGGCTGAAAGTTGGCTCATAGACATAATTAGCTCACCGGGGCCCGATGGGGCCCCATGTGAGCTTATGCCATCACTTGGCGTCCGTCGTCGTCTGTCGTCGTAAACTATTTCAAAAATCTTCTCCTCTGAAACTACTGGGCCAAATACCTTCAAACTTTAACTAAATGTTCCTTAGGGTATCTAGTTTATAAATTGTATCCGAACTTTTGATCCATCGACAAACATGGCCGACATGGCTAAAAATAGAACATAAGGGTCAAATGCAGTTTTTGGCTTATATCTCAAAAACTAAAGCTTTTAGAGCAAATCTTGATTAATTGATTAATATTTGCTTAACGTCCAGTGGCAAATATTTCATGTTTGTTCCGGACGGGAACAAATTACCAATAAATACTTCAGTTAGGCCCAGTAATAGAGGCCGTCCGGGATAAAGGTCGGGAAAATTTGAACTGCACTTAAAAAATAAGGGTGTATTAGATAGGGACAGAACCTTTGCCTTGCAACAGGTTTCATATGAACCCCTCAAACAGTTGTTGCAAGGGTTTTCTAACGTGGCACTCTCTTAACGCGAGGCATAGGATTTAATATCCCCATTCTGACCGGAAGTGGCTGCGTACATGTACATCCGGCACAGCAAAAACTGACTTCCCACTTTGGCAAGGGTTTAACTGCTGGTCGGAAGAAGACCAAAGTGATCATATTTCCTTTCCCTAGTAACCCTTAGTCTTAGAGGCGGGAGTATTGAAGCATGTATTTGTCAAACAATAAAAGATATAAACAAACACTAAAGCTTGAAACAAACTCTCACCATGCTTCGCATGCAATAAACATTGTTTTAAGTTGAAATACGTCACGATATTTTTACGGTAATGTTTGACTTCCTCATCTTTAGTAATACCGACCGTACAAACTTTTCATTTATTTAAGTTGTATGGCACATTAGAAAGAAAGAATGTAGTTACAGTCAAAATTCAAATACACATAATGCATTTTAACATTTAAAGTTCTTTTATTTTGCCCAAATTGTTAACAGATTGACTGAAATTTCTCATTAGGTAGCTTCGATTTTTTTGGACTGAACCACTACACGACCGTTTTAGCCGAACCTACAAAAAAGGAGTTTGGTTTTCCAGGTGATGTGCTGGTGCAGCTAACTAGAGATCCATCGTGGACAGGGTAAATGACTATTTCGTTTGCGTCAGCAACTAATTGAAGCTTTGTGAAAGAAATTATAATTGTGTTTTTATAATCTTATATGACTCAGAAGCACTATATGTACACGAAAAAGGCAAGGAACGGCGCTTTTATTATTGGTCTTCATCTCAAAATATCAGCGAGGCCTTTAACATTAGCGCTTTGAAGCCGCGAAGTTTGAATAGCACACTAAAATTAAAAGTGTGTATTGTTCGTGGAGGTGTTGTATATTGAGAACAGTAGACGAGGGAAATCATTAACACAAGTTTACCATAAATAAACCTAGTATTTTCACGAAAATATGATTATGAATAGAAGGACATGTCCAGTGTAGAATATATTCCCTCAGCAGATTATAGAAGGGTTCCTGACTATTATGTTTTGTGGAACATTATGCATCTAGATAAAAAAAAGTTATTTAGATTAGGAAGACAGACATTTGATAAAATGATGATATTTTTAATAATATGCAAATGCTACTTATATCACATGAAAATAAGTAGTGTATTGTCCTAACAAACCACTCACACATGCATGACTTGTTTTGTACAAACGTTTTATGATTTCTGAACTAGGTATTCATCTCCTGAATTAAGGAAAATCTATTTGAATATCAGCACAAAAAGTATTACAAAATTACCGAACTTTCAGGTAATTCAAAAAAGGGGAAGTCCAGAAAAACTGACAAAATCAATGATTATACTTTATCAACCAACAGAACGAATGCAAAACAACTGTCATATTCCTGACTTGGTACAGACATTTTCCGAAGAAAAATGTGTGTTTAACCTGGTTTTATAGGTAACTAAACCTCCTAATTGTATGACAGTAGTTTAACACCACCTCAATGTAGAAAAATGTAATTTGTCTGTCGTGGGGTTGATATAGATATATCATTGATAATTATTAATCAAATACAACGTACCATCCCAGAATGCTTTGAGCATTTGTTTTGACACAGAACTTATAAACTATGAAAATTAGGGGAGCTACCATTTGATTTTTATGGGGGGAGGGGGGGGGGGGCTAGGATGAAATTTAAAAACAAGTGGCTCTCAAGAGCCTGAATCGCTCACCTGTATTTCAGAGGAGAAGATTTTTAAATGTTAGCAAACTTGATGAACAAATTGTGTAAAATTGTCTTTAAAGGGCAATAACTCCTTAAGGGGTCAATTGACAATTATGGTCATATTAAAACTTTTTTGTAGATCTTACTTTGCTGAACATTATTGCTGCTTACAGTTTATATATATCTATAATAATATTCAAAATAATAACAAAAAACAAAATTTTGTTAAAACTACCAATTCGGTGGCAGCAACCCAACAATGGGTTGTTCGATTCGTCTGAAAATTTCAGAGCTGATAGATCTTGACCAATTGAACAATTTTACCACATGTCAGATTTGCTCTAAAAGCTTTAGTTTTTGAGATATAAGCCAAAAAATGCATTTGACCCTTATGTTCTATTTTAAGCCATGGCGGCCATGTTTGTTGATGGATACAAACTTCGGATACAATTTATAAACAAGATACCCTAAGGAACATTTAGTTAAAGTTTGAAGGTAACTGGCCCAGTAGTTTCGGAGGAGAAGATTTTTAAATGTTAGCAAACTTGATGAACAAATTGTGTAAAATTGTCTTTAAAGGGCAATAACTCCTTAAGGGGTCAATTGACAATTATGATCATATTAACTTTTTTGTAGATCTTACTTTGCTGAACATTATTGCTGCTTACAGTTTATATATATCTATAATAATATTCAAAATAATAACAAAAAACTGCAAAATTTTGTTAAAACTACCAATTCGGTGGCAGCAACCCAACAATGGGTTGTTCGATTCGTCTGAAAATTTCAGAGCTGATAGATCTTGACCAATTGAACAATTTTACTACATGTCAGATTTGCTCTAAAAGCTTTAGTTTTTGAGATATAAGCCAAAAAATGCATTTGACCCCTATGTTCTAAAATTAGCCATGGCGGCCATGTTTGTCGATGGATCAAAACTTCGGATACAATTTATAAACTAGATACCTTAAGAAACATTCAGTTAAAGTTTGAAGGTATTTGGCTCAGTAGTTTCAGAGGAGAAGATTTTTGAAATAGTTTACGACGACAGACGACAACAGACGACGACGACGACGACGACAGACAACGACGACGACAGACGACGGACGACGACGGACGCCAAGTGATGGCATAAGCTCACATGGGGCCCTTCGGGCCCCGGTGAGCTAAAAAAAGACAGGACAGGAGTTTTGAGTAAAAAAAAGGCAGGATTAGCAACTTGGCAAAAAAAACAGTCAGGATGACAATTTATGTAAAAAAAGTCAGGATAAACTATTAAAAAAAAGGGGCAGGACCGAATAGAGAAAAAAATAAAAAGGCAGGACAGAGATTACAACTAACAAAAAATGCAGGACAAAATTTTTCATCCTAGCCCCCTCATTAAAATCAATTGGTAGCTCCCTAAGACGATCCAATTTAATATTATCTCTAAACCCCACGGAACAACTTTCAACCACAACCGAGCATTACAAATACAAATACAAATACAAATTATGTCAGGATCATACTGGTTGAAAGTTGTGCCGTAGGGTTTTAGAGATATGTTAAAATGGATCGTCTTAATTTTAGGTGTGGTTGTGGTTGAAAGTTGTGCCGTGGGGTTTTAGAGATATGTTAAATTTGAAATTATTCACATTTTGTTATCCTGGTGACATTTACACACCCTATAAATATTACCGGCTATCATTACGGTTGATACAGTAGGATATGTGTTTCCGATTGTCATTTCAATGCAGGGATTGATTTAGCAATCATGTACATCACATTTTGATATTGGTCCCTATTGCATCTGCAGTACCGATAGCTGGTACATATGTAACAGGGTGTGCTTTTATAGCTTGATTCATATACGATTAGGGTGATTCTCGTTGTTGAAAGTCGTCCAATGACCTGTAGTTATTTATAGAATTTCTCTTTATGACTCTATTTTATATAATAAAAAAAATACCCGTGCATTACAAATACAAATAACAAGTAGAAACCATATGTTGCAGGTCAGGATCATACTGGTTGAAAGTTGTGCCGTGGGGTTTTAGAGATATGTTAAATTGGATAAAAAAAGAATACAATAATCCAAAAGTAATTATTACTGAAAATGGAATCACAGATAATAATGGAACAACCAATGACCCACACAGAATTTATTACTACCGACAGTACATCAACCAACTACTTAAAGGTAAGTGGTCAAACAGTGACAACAATAAATGTTTGAGAACTTTTCAAAAGGTTTTCACACATTACTTTTCAATGTTTAAGGCATAAAAAAGATATGAACATAAAACAGTAATTATACGGTTTCCTATTGATGATCGCAAAGGGTGTAGTTCTACCAATATCATATAGTACAAATTAATCGGATGAAGTAGTTATCGTTTAGTTCATACCGTCCAAACTGGACCAAAATATGATCAATCGTATTCGTCTTGAACATGGCTTAATTTTTGTGAAATGGTTTCGCAAAAAAAAAATTCAAATCTGACAGTCATTTATAAGGTCAATTGTCTGAAGTCAATAGAAACATATCAAGTTGAACATAAAAAGAGAAACTCCACAAGTTCATGTACGCTTATCTTCCTAAATCTATTTATACTTACTAGCATACCATTTTTTTGCAATTCATTTGTTATGTTTATCTCTATGATATTTATATTTCTATCCATCTAAGTGAAGTGTGCCTTTGTGTATTATAAATATGATTTTTAAACCCATTTTAATTTTTCAGCGGTAAAACAGGATGAATGTAATGTCATTGGATATACGGCTTGGTGTCTTTTAGACACGTTTGAGTGGAATAGAGGGTTTCATGAGAAGTTTGGACTTCATTCCACAGACTTCAGTGACCCTACGAGACCAAGGACACCAAAGCTTTCAGCTGCAGCATACACAGAAATAGTAAATCGTAATGGATTTCCTCCTTCAAGTGGTAGCAGTGATGCTCAAAACTTTATCATGTTAATATTGTTGAGTGTATCATTCTATTGTATTTTGAAAGAGTGATAAAAGACAAATTTGATCCACTATCTCTGATATTTATTTGTAAGCGGAGTTTTTTTTTTATAAAATTAGAGTATTGTTTTAAAATTAAATTAGTGATATTGATACGGTTATGGAATAGGTTGTAGGTTTGTACATAGACGTTTTCGGGTTACTTACATTAGTAAACAATCACTTCTTCTTTCACTTCCATCGTTTAAGTCAGTGATAATTAGTTTATCGGCTTCAATATGAAACCAGTGCCGTGACCATTTAGCCAGCTGCGCTACCAGTATACACCTGTAATTATTTTGTAACTTAACATCAGGGTTGACAGATATTAGAATTTTCCAACAATACGTAATATGTTAAATCCGGACACACTCACCCATCCCGTAACATTTGTGGCGGCGGTGAAATACGAATAAAGCCAAGTCAAGCATGGAGAAGAGGGACAAGAACAAGAATATTTATTTTATGAAAATCGTTGACTCTGCAGAAGATTATATCGCAAATGGTAGTGTGTCCACCCCTGTTGTGCTCATGACAAATATAGTCAACTAGTTCAGTACATATCTAAATACCTTAGGGAACCATGTTCTTACTCCGTTACAGATAACTGATTAAAAAGTTCCAACTCACCCGTCCCGTCACAATATTATTTTATTTATATCGGTATGTCTAGTGTTTTATGTGAACAGATTGTAATAGGGAAATATTTGGTCAAGGTTATTCAACATTCTAGAAAAAATGTCATTTTTACGGATTTATTTCTTAAGAATCAGACAAGTGTGTTTAGGGGACAAGCATTTGATTTTCTGGAGTGGAGGGGTTAAAGGAATATTCTTTCCCACAAAATGCAGGAAATAACTGTGTTCAAAAGGGAAAATATATATGTCAACTTAGCTCGAGGTCAAAATGAATATTCCATCCTTAATCCGTAAAAATCCTCCTGTGCCCCGCCCCAAAATATCAATTGGTCATTCCTTAGGAGACGAAATACTGGTTTTGATAAAACACTACATAACAGTCATTCTAACTTTAGTCAATTTTTTTATTTACAAGATTATAAACTGTACTTTTCTTGTGTTAATTATTGAAGATCTTTGGATATTTTGTTTTCTCTCCTTCCATTAAATTGGTTAATATTTAGGTTTGCTTAACATACAGTAACAAATATTTACAGCATTTTCAAGACTATAACAACGTTACAATTCATCCAAAAGACATGTTCTGCAAAGTGGGCTGACCGAGATAACTGCTATTGGAAAAATAGGGTATGTTGGATAGTAAATGCTATTTTTCCTTGCATCAGGCTCCCTACAGACTCATAGAGTTGTTAAAATGGCTCTTGAACATGCAGAAAACGTGGTACTATCCCCACACGAGGCATCGGATTTAAGGTCTCCGTTCCTTACAGATTTGTAGGCGTATGTATACACCACGCTCAGTCAAATAAACATCAATCTGTAGGGCGGGGTTTACTGCTGGATGGGACATTTGAAACTGTAATGTACGAGTTTACAACAATAATTTGTTTTCTTTATCAACATAGAAATGCATTTCTTCAATTATCTAAAATACCGTTTTCTTTTTGTTCCTATCCAATATAATACCCAATTTTTCCAATAGCAGTTTGTATTTCCCGTCCTTCATCCCAGTTTACACACTTTGCAGAACATACCTTTGTTTTATGAATCAGAATGAGTCAGATGTGAAGTTATAAGATTTTCATGAATCTATACACCATATTCATTTCCATTCTGTTGTTAATATCTGTTTGAGTACTTCGTCAACTTCTCTTGTATTCTTGACATAACACCGAAATATTTTCACACCAATTTTTCACAGGAACTTGTCTGAATTTTTTTTTATCCCATATAAACCTGTTATATTAAGGTATCATGACTAGTATATGAAAACAAATTTCAGAGACAAGTGCCTGTGCAATTCTTTCTTAACATCTGAACATAATTTTATATCCTTTCTTTAAATTTTATTTATCTAAAAGTATAACTTCCGTTTTGTTATTTTAGTGTTTCCGTGTATACATATAAAATAGAGGATATTATACGGTCCATGGTTTCTTAATGAACAATGATTTGTCACTAGTTTGTGACTGTAGACCATGATCACCAAGTAATTACTCGAGATACACATATCTGGCGTATAGTTCACGTCGTGAGGACAAAACTACATTTCCTGATGTGATTTTGTTCGGATAAACTTCAACATTGAACATTAACTCGGTCATCTAAAATGACATGGATCTTGTTAAATTATAAAGTGTACAACAAGATGATATAAGGATATTTTTTTATTATTACACAACACGTAAGTTGTTGCTTTATATATTCCTCCTCTTTGTTAACCTTGCTTCATATGAAACTAATTAATCAACCTGTATATTAAATGTCACTTCTAATAATTGCATGGACACGTATTACAACGAAAAATCACAGGGAAAAGAGGAAAGATGTTATATACTTGTTGAATAAATACCTTGCTGTCTGATTAATTAATGCCAGTTTCTATATTCATAATCTGTTAAATTTGATACGGATTAAAAAAATGTCATAACTTACTATGAGTATAGTTTATATCATTTCTAGGGAAAATCACTAAAAACAATTTCTATTTTAAAGACTCGCTCTTAACTAAAAACTTCAATTGTGTGCTGCTGGTACCGATGCGAAAGTAGATGTTTAGAACATACATCTAAAAACTGAATTGGGAAAACTTCCCATTCAAGAAAAAGCTCACAGGTATGAAATTCCTTGCATGTCAGTATCAGACAAAATTTGTTTTGCTCAGACTCTGATGGCATTAAACAAAATTTTAAAAACCACAATGGAAAAGACTTCCTCTGATCGAAAAAAAGATTGAAAAATTATTGAGGACAAGATTCCTTAAAAAAATATTAACCCCAAGGTTTATCTGTGGAATAGATATATGGTAAACTTAAATTTTCCATGCAGCAATAAGATTTGCATAGAGAGCTCCATTTGGCTGTGTGGTATTTATAAATACGAAGCTAAGTTCGATCAGATTTATCGTCCTGAACAAGCATGAGATATTTGCCATTGGACGTTAGGCAAACAGCAATTATCTACCAATCAGATTTAGGATGTTAAATCTATTGTCCTGTTTGGGTAGAGGTTCGTGCTTATTGCACTTAATGAACCCATGCAATATTCCTTGAGAGTATGTAGTAGACCTATCTTTCCTCGCCCAGCATACCCTCCTTTCCACTTGCAGACCAAATTTTCTGCCTCGACTCGCTTTGCCGACCAGCATAAAAGACTTACAACGACAAAGAGCCGAGTGAGCTTTTCTCATTACTTGGCGTCCGTCGTCGTGCGTCAACTTTTACAAAAATATTCTCCTCTGAAACTACTGGGCCAAATTTAACCAAACTTGGCCATAATCATCATTGGAAAAAACTAGTTTAATAAAATGTGTCCGATGACACCACCTCCCAACTAACATGACCGACGTAGCTAAAACTAGTACATAGGTGGCAAAATGCAAGTTTTGCCTATTATCTTGAAAACCGCTATCAATTGAGAATATCTGACAGGGGAAGATATGTTCAGAATTCTGAGATCTTTGACTAATATTTTTTACTATTATCTTGAAAACTGTAAAAGATATAGAAAAACTTTTAATAACAATTAAAAATGACCAGCTAGACAATATCTACAATTGATACTAACATGGTCGAAATCTTCAGTCGACTCTTTATTGAAGTTATTGCTCTTTAATGACGATTTTACCCATTTTTTGCATTTTGAAAACTATAAAAAGGTAATTAGACCATATTTACAAATAAGTCACATTTTGCTGAAATCTTTAGTTGACCCATTATAGAATTGATTTGATTGATTGATTACTTAGACCACGCGGCCTCCTATAGGACTCTTTATAGGAGTTGTTGACCTTAAAGGACAACTTCTATACACTTTTGGTGTTTTGGACTAAAACTAAAGAAGATGGAGAGAAATCGTAAACAAGCAAAAAATTATCATGCAGCGATACAAGATCAACAAAATAGAGATTTTGTCATTTATTATATTCTAGTCTACAATGTTGGAGAGTGTCGATTGTTGAAGATGCAAATAGACCAAGGTAATCTACACAGGCTCTTTGGAGCCTCTAGTTCCTTTTTGTATAACGTGGATTTCAGAGGGTCACACAAATACCATCAAATTGGTAATAGTTCAAAATTATCAGATTTAGTTGAACTCTGTCGACACAAACTAAACCACGCTTAAACATACAATACCAAAGAGTTTGGAAGCACATGTGCTGAAAAGAGAGCAGCAAGACTTCAATCGACACTTTTAAACGTATTGTAATTATCAAGAATTAAATCATTGGTATACGTAGTAAACAGTAGGTAAAATATACTCTAAAAGTTTGATGACGTCTGTATACTTCAAAAATGAACTTGACAACAAACTTTTGCACTTTTATCTATGATGTTTTACAGAGGAATGCTCTATATAAAATAACGATGTTTTCCGTTTTTACCATGACGAAATAGTTACTATAGACATGTCATGCTTTATATTTATAGATATAAGAAATGATAAGGATGTTAACACCAAAACAGGATTTTTTTTTAAAATAACCGAAGAGTACTAACTCCTCTATTTCGTGTAAGAACAAAAAAATAACGATTTTCCTACGTTCTCAAATTATTTCACCGTAAAATCCGTACGGAGATCCAACTATTATAGTTATTTACTTGCACATCATTGGGATATTTATCTCATTTACAATCATACCACATCTTCTTATTCTTATATCAAAGTTTGACATTTCAAAAATACACACAAATTTTCGAGTTTTTTTTACTTTTGATATTAATCATTTTAATTTGTCAAAATAATCATCCAGTGTGCGACGCGACCTGTCGTTGAATTATTAAGAAAGCCGGACGTCAAAAATAAAACATGATGCTATCTTTCTTATTCAAGTTTATCAGCAATTGGAAAAGGAAACTAAAGCTTGTCTTCTTTCATTTTGATAACATCTAGAAAGGGAAATTACTCAGTTACCAGGAAATTCCTTTCAGGATACGTGTATGGGGTATCCAAAAGGGAGAATATTACATATCTGAAAGGTGTACAAAAATGTCAACTTGAAAAATCATTCAACCGGAATTTATTTTTGTTTAGAAGAAAAGAAGATTTTTGTTCAATAAAAAGACTGTTCGTTCTTTTAATTTAATCTTTCTTGTTTGGTTGCTATCTCATAAACAAGTCCATAGGAAAAAAATAAGATTCTGCCTACAACCGTAGAAATAGCAATGTATCATGCAGTTCGGTATGGAACAGTGACCATAGGCACACGGAATACAAAAATTATCATCAAAAATGTATTTTCTCAATTTCCCGTCTTAATAAATATTCAAAAGATATATAGATTGTATATGGTACAATCCTGTAGAATCCTTATTTAACATTCATGAATCTGAATCTGTCTTTCCGCTGTTATTCTATTCATGGTTCACAATACTCGTAATAGAATTTATAGACAATATTAATTAAAATAATTCTTAATAAAAGTACACTTTTAAGTACTATCTAAATCATAAAAAGTAAAGACGGACATTAGATTGCATGTTGTTTGCATGATAACAAGGAAGTTAATTAAGTATAAATACATGTAACATAAATCTTCAATCTGAGCAAGCATAGTCTATTATCTGAACTAATAAAATGAAGCATACGTTAATAAGAAAATTTATGTTATTGTTAAACAAGGATATAACTCTGCACTGTCATGGTGCAACTTTTACCTATAATATTCAATATAAGTATGCATGTATAATGCAATATAGAAGTATATGCTCTGATTTTTCCTTGTTTTTATCTGGTTGCCTACAGCTGTTGGTATACTTAAAAATCAAAATGTCTTTCTGACTTAATTGGTTCCGAATATACGGAATACACTACAAGTTCAGTATTAGATAATGAGCGAAGCCAAAATTAATAAAATATAATTATATCCTTTTAATGTCACCATTTCAAATTACTGTATTGATCAGTCTATCTTTACCGATAAGTGGATATATAATAATTTGTTTCTCCCAGAATTACCCTTTTGTAAATTTATGCTATAGCCCGGTATTGGTGAATTAGAAATACATTTCAAACAAAGCAATACTAAAAGCATCTTAATGGAGATGATACTATAAGTACTGGGTAAATTTACTTATGTTCACAAAGAGGGAAGACTTCAAGAAAATAAAAACATAATATTAAGTATGCAATAGACATTGAATGAACCTCTTTAGGAGAATGGATATGGCTTTTAAATAATTATAATACTTTTTAAATTGCTATTGTTTTTGTAACTGTGCAATAACTAAGGATGCAACTCCTCGGACAAAGTTGATCTTACACGGTTGTGTTTGTTAAGGCCCGTTTGGTTGTTACTGCAAAGTTTAACATTCCAAACTTTTGGTCACTAGTGTATACCTGATGAAAGTTTTCCCAGAAACACGTGTCGATCGCACCGAAATTATAGTATTTTGTGCTTTGTTTTTGTTTTTGAGTAAATGAGATTTTGGAAAGTTAAACTGTACGCGTCCCTTTCATAATTAAAACGTGATCATGTATCATGTGTGATAAACTGACTCTTGTCCTAATAGTTACAGTAAACTTTTTTATCATGAAAATAAAACACAGACATTTGGATTTTCCCCTTTCGATGGAAATCTTATACATGTTAATTCAACGTATCATAATTGACCACATAATTGCTTAAAAGACCAGGATGTAAGTAAAAGACTTGGTTTATTAAAAGTCTAGCCTTGTTCTCGGTAAACTTCGGTACTGTTCTGCAAACTTCGGAAACAGTGTCAAATAAGAAAATTATAGTATCAGATCAAATGTGCCAAACGAGATTTTTAAAAATATTTGTATATATATACTGAATACACTATACATTTGTAACTGTATACATACTGAACACACGAGCTGTATATATACTTATTTTTTTTAAATCTCGTCTCGCATCTGTGTATAGGATCTAGATATGAACATATTGTAGCCGATTACGGTAACATCTATTATTTAGGATACTCATGGTTATTATCATTTGAACCAACATTTTTCGGATACTTAAAAACACGAGTTCAATATTTGACCAAGTTCATATAGCAGGGAAACTAAAAAATAAAGCATAATCGGAGTAGCAATGAACAAAATGTTTTAATTTATGCATCATGCATCAATTTTTCAGAACTGAAATGGGGAACCAGATGAGAAAAAAGTTATCAAAAGAAGACTGCCAATTTTTAGAAGAGCACACAGATTTTAAAAAACCCCATATTATGGATTTTTACAAAGACTTCATGGTGAGACAAATTACTCAGATTACAACTTTTAATTGCTATCTGAGCAAACGAAGATGATCGGTGAATATTTATGAGAGTGATCAAATCATTACATAAATCCCATACTTAGAAATCTTGAGGTGGTGATATTGCCTTCAATTATATACAAACAGCCAAGCCATATGTACAAATGTTCATTCGGCCTAACTCTAAACAAGAAGTGCTTTAATTTAATAGCAACGACCGCTCGTTTGACAAGTGTATATGCATATGGTATACTTTTTCTGATTAACGGATGCATACATGTATTGACTAGATTTCTACATTCGGACAGAAAAACTGAGTATTTTTTCTATATTAAAGTAGTTTGTGTTCAGACTCCTGGATTAGGACAGGTACATACAGGATGTGGCGGATTACATATGTTTATCATCTCCGTTTTAACCTTGGACTATGCAACGTAAGATCAAAATGTAAGAATTCGTTGGTCACTAGTGTGCCTGATCTTGACTCACCAGATCGGTACGAAGCACAAAAACAACTAACAAAAAGACAAAAAAGACATCAAGTATCAATATACGAGTACTCTCAGTTACTGCAAACTAGTAACAACTAAAATATGATTCATATCTTCCAAGACTAAAATATCAATCGGTACACATCAAACGGATTTTGTCTTAAAGTCGCTATAAACTGACTGAGAAAAGTAGTAAGATATTGTGATATTTTAAGAGACGTAGGTGTACTTCCTTCATTGTATGCGAGTGTGAATAATAACAAGAGGCGGAAAACATGCTATAAGTTACATCCCATTGTATACTAAGTAGTTATGGTAATGAATTGAGAACATACAAACTTTTTAAGTGTACTTTTAACACTGAACAAGACTTTCTACAGAATATGCCACTGTGTCGTCGCAGTGCTTTGTTTGAAGATTAGATAATGACATTTTCTGTACCAATTTTACTGCACCAGATGCGCCTTCACTTGCCGACGACTGATGTCTCTTCGGTGATGTTCGGGCTAAAATATTACAAAAAATCCAAAATCTAATACAAACGTTGAAAAATTGATAAAACGAGAACGAGCTTGCTATTAGGCCAGCACCGGACAAAGAGTCAGAGCTGTATGTAAGGGAGATACATTACTCAAATTAAATAATGATATCTAAAATTTGAACAGAAGATTACAATAAAACAATATCCATATTTGTATGCCAGTACCGTTATGAAGCACCATTACAAATTGAAACAAGTCGATATGGAAAGTGACAGAGTTTGATTTAATTGTAATAATTAAGATGAAAAACATGTACTTTTAAAATGTCCTTAAAATGAAGATCTAAAACATGCCAGTTATTGATATACTTTTTTCATTTTATTTTTGTACGTCCGTTTACGGGACAATTATGGTATACCGTTGTCCGTTTACCGTCTGTCCGTCCGTCGTCAACATATCGGACAATATCTCAAAAACGCATAAACCAATTTGCATGAAACTTTGGTGAATTGTTTATATCTATTGACGAGAGCTTCCGTTCGATTTTTATAAATTTTAGCTTTTACGTTTCCGAGTTATGGGGTTTTATTCATTAAAAAGGGTGGTTTTCCAGTTTTCGGACAATAACTCAAAAATGCTTTGAGCAGTTTTCGTGAAACTTTTAGGAATTGTTTATATCTTTTGACGTAAGCTCCCTTTCGAATTTTATAAATTTTAGATTTTACGTTTCCGAGTTCTGGGATTTTATTCATAAAAAAGGGGAGATTTTCCAGTTTTCGGACAATAACTCAAAAGTACTTTGAGCAGTTTTCATGAAACTTTGGTGACTGTTTTATATCTAATAAAATAACCTCCCTTTAGATTTTTTTTTTTAAATTTCTGATATGACATTGAGGAGTTATGGAACTTAATATGTATTCTTTGGAATAGAGACGGGCGTATCATGCGCTCATGGCGCAGCTCTTTATTTTTTTTATTTGTCTCATGATCTTTTTTTAAAGGATATATGTTATACTGTTGCTAAACCCCAATATAACATTTTAACAAGGACAAATAGTATTTCATAAAATTTTAGAATAGCAGTTTTACATATTTTTTATGATTATAGATTGAAGTAAATATGTCTCTCATAATTCATTAAAGAGTTGTATATACATTTATCTTACCTTCTATAGATTTATGAGGATATGATTGGTTAATCGACTACACGTGGTGACTATATATACTTCATATAGGGTGTCCTAAAAAATACATGGTTAGTTACCATATAGGGTTAGCAACTTTCAAAACAAAAATGACATCTGAAAGGTTTAAACAGACGAAGAAACTGATAATAAACGATTGAAATACATTCATTAAACAAATTTAAAGCTAACACATTGTTATTGTTAGCATTTGTTTTTTGTATAGACAAATGGAAGTAGGTTCTTAAACATGTTAAAACTAAGAATTGAAGTCTTTTAAATCACTTTGATAGGAAGCTAGTCTAAATACCACATGTGAAGATAGTCGGTAAGATAAATTCGTTACACAGTGTGCTAGTGACCTAGTACGATATATATGGGGTCAGTAAATTCCATATGGGGATTCGAGCTTCGCTCTCACCCCATATGGAATTTACTGAGCCGGTCACTAACACACCATGTAACTAATAATACGTTACTTATTTCCTACATGATTGCTGTATATCTTGTTTTAAATGTTTGTTGTATGTGGAGAAACTTTAATAAACTATTGACTATGAAAATTCATCCTATGTAACAAATATGTCGACCTTAAAGATCTTTTGGTCTTGACTTGTGTTTGATCTGCTAAAACAATACATATGATATGTCATTGACATATACACTTCACACCTTTTTTATTAGTAGTCAACATATAGTAGCTGTCTGATGTGATCATATGTTTAGATATGCACATACTTTTCAATTTATGAACATACTGTTTCTATATATGCAGATACGTTTTTCAATATATGAACATACTTTTTCAATATATACACATACTTTTCCTATACATGCACAAAGTGTACTTTATATGCACATACTTTTTCTATATATGCATATACTTGTTCTATATATGAACATAGTTCTTCGTGTGCATACTTTTCTCTATAGGAACATAGTTTTCCAATATGAGAATTACCATGAAGAAAAAGATGTGCTTATATTGAATAGTATGTGCATATATTGAAAAGTATGTGCATATATTGAAAAGTATGTGCATATATAAACATATGTTCACACCAGGCAGCATCGGCGTTCCATAATATAACGCCAGCTTCACATACCTTTTTATATGAACGTCATCTTAAATTTATGGTACTTTACATTTCATTCTAATTAATATTGCAGAAAATTAATCCAGATGGAAATATGAATTTAGATGATTTTAAAGATTTTCTGTATGGATTTTACAAGGATAAGAGTACTAACCTCGCAGAACATTATTTTCGTGCTGCAGATAAAAACAAAAGTGGAAAAATAAACTTCAAGGAGTTTTTAATGTTTTTGAACCATGAGTGTACATCAAATCCTGAAGAACGACTCAATTGGATGTTTGATTTATTTGATATTGATGGCAACGGTACAATAGAGAGACCAGAAATGATCGACATTTATAAGGTAAGATCTAATGTAACATTCTATTAGTATGTCTATCAGTGGCGGATCCAGAATTTTTGAAAAGGGGGAAGGGTTGTAAATCCTAATATTGCGACTTAATGCTAAAATTGTATACATATCGCGAAAAACGTGAGACCTTTTTAATTTTGGGCGAGCAAAAATGGGGAACGTATGCCCTCTACGCCCTTCCTACGGGTCCTGAATGCTCTTCAACTTCGTACTGTATTTGGCCTTTTTAACTTCGAGCGTCAGTGGTGAGTCTTTTGTAGACGAAACGCGCGTCTAGCGTACAAAATATTATTCTTGCTATCTATAAATAGTTTATTCTGTACTGTTCATGAATGAATGTTGGTAGACAAAATCTATACTAGAATGCACAAATGTCAAACATAAATCCTGTATGAAATACATAAATGTGTTGTTTGGTTGCTATATTGTTGACGTGCACATATCCACATCTATTAATAAAATTGAAGCGTTTCAATGTAAAAAAGAACAGAATTGTACCGGAATGTCCTTCCCTTCATTGGATTCCGGTTTATGTTACTATTTCCGTTTCCTCTGTAAGCACATAATCAGCATAATATGACTAGAAACCAACATTATATCCAAACAGCAACAGTAAGTTACTCATTATAACGTTAAAAAAAAATGAAAAAGAATCAGATTGGTTTAAAATCAACCAAGAATACCAAAACAAGAACGCACCATTGCGGTCATGTGAATTTAGTTTAAATATTCTTTTTTAAAACATATGGCATACACAATATGATTGCAGTAATACACAAAGGGAATTGTATTACTAGTATCATGTTTATTTTCTAAATCTACAATCAACTGATAAAGTTGATGAAGTCATTACTAATGTTGAAGAGTGGAAATGTGTTCCTCAAGTTAAATTGCTTTTTTCAGTTCGACATCGACTCAAATCGCTAGACTTACGAATACGGTGAAAGTGCTTTTATTCGTGGTTTGAGCAAAATTACATGCTCGTGGGTTCTTAAATTCGTGGATTTTTAAATTAGTTTTCTGAGTGAAGAATTTAAAGCCATCAGAAACGAAGATTCTTGAAAATAATTCTATATGTTGTTTTATAATGATTTGTGGGACATTGCAAAATAAGGTGTTCATCTTCACTTACTTGTTCCTCTTTCATTACTGACAACATTCAGTATATTTTTTATAAAACAATTGATTTCGGAATTAAACTGATTCATAAATGCTTGCAAGTTATCTCTATTTGACGAAGAAAATTTGAAAGTAAAAAAATTAATTGTTGCACACGTGTATTCAGAAGTGATGACACTAATTAACCCGAGATCGAACGATTAGCAGATTTATAACGATCATTAAAGGTGTTAATTGAGCCAAAAACATGTCACTTAAAGAAAACGGTTTCATAAAAGATGTACTTTGAATTGTAGAATTAATTATTATGAAATATAAAAGCAAGCCAAATATGAAATTATTAATTGTTTTTTCGTTTAATTAAGAATTATGAGAAGATAAAATGAACACTTCATCATCGCATATCATCACCGGGCCCGGAAGTCTGACTTTCAGCGATCAAAGGTTGAAAGTCGTACAGTTTAGGTTTTTTAAAGATTAGATATGCAAAGTCCTGTCGGAAGTTGTATATATATAGTTCAAAGTGCGTTTGCTGATATACATATATTCTCTAATCTATATGCCCGTATCCATGTAGTCAAACATACATGGTCGTCCCAGGTTAGGGGGAAGGGTTGGCGCCTTCAAACTAGTTTAACATTCTGTATGTATGTGCCTGTCCCAAGTCAGGAGCTTGTAATTCAGTGGTTGTCGTTTGTTGATGTGTTACATATTTGTTTTACGTTCATTTTTTTTGTACATATATTAGGCCGTTAGTTTTCTCGTTTGAATTGTTTTACATTTGTCATTTCGGGGCCTTTTATAGCTGACTATGCGGTATGGGCTTTGCTCATTGTTGAAGGCCGTACGGTGACCTATAGTTGTTAATTTCTGTGTCATTTGGTCTCATGTGAAGAGTTGTCTCATTGGCAATCATACCACATCCTCTTTCTTTTTTATATATATGGGGATCTTTCCATGTCTTAATTTTGACGACAATTATTATATTTCGTTGGACACTTGAATTCGTGGATATAGCCATCCAGGAAAACCACGAAAATTGGTACCCCACGAATAAAAGAACTTTCACATTAGTTCCGTTTTGTGTTCATTTAAAAGAAATTAAAGGTTTTGGTGCATTTTTATTTGGCTATGTTGTTGGCTTTAAATCATACATTTACTTCCCACGTATTTACACGATAAATGGAAGTATTGACATAACTCCCTATCAAATGACGGGAAAGGCTTTCGAATATGATCTTTTTTTTAAATATTTTCGGATAATGCAAACTGAATGATACAAATTGAGGATAATAAACTATTTAGTGCATTCTAGCTTCGGGACATAATCATACTGATCATTTATTCTGGTCATCGGAAAAAGCAAAAACAAAAAACTAGTCTCACCATTTCGTTTAAAGAAATTTGTTCTAAATTTTCTATACTAAGCAGGGGCGGATTCAGGCGGGGGCGTGGCGGGCGTGCGCTCCCCTTAAATTTGCAAAGCATGGGTGGTCCTCAGCTTAATAAAAAATATTTCGATATTTTACCTCAAAAAAATTTTTAATTTAAGTTTGCGGGCCCCCCACCTAACCTCCTGGATCCGCCCCTGCTAAGTTTTTGTTAATTGTCAATTTAATACCAAAACAAATAGATAGATAGATAATTCATAGATCCAGAAAAAACATAGGGTAAACATTCAAGAGACAACATTATTTATACTGTAGTGCATTGATATTCAAAACTCGTAAATCCATTTAAAACTGTAAATTTAGACTATGATTCCAAACTTGTGTCATAATAGAACTTATTTCAAATATTATATTACCGTTCTTTTCCTATAATCACAACAAATGACGTTACAATGACATAAAACATATCTAAAGTATAATTTACTTTACTTACACATGGACCTCGAAGACAAATTCATGGGAATACATGCATAAAGTAACTTAAAGTATATATAAGACTTTCTTACATGAGTCACCAAATGACACTTAACATCCCAAGTAGTTTTAACATAACTCTGCATATACCATTTCAAAAGTACATTGTATTTATGTGTATGTCGTGTAAGCATACTTGTATCATTTGGTCAGCTTACTCTAAATAAACACATATACTAACCAACATTCATTCAACAATGTGTTGTCTTATTTAAAATTTTACTGATTGTTGACTACAAAGTATTTTACCTAAAATCAGTGCATGTATATGTTTTTCTTTAATTGACGTCTAGTTGTTTTATTGTAGATCGCTTTAGATGTGAATGAAAAGAAATCACCCGGGGATCCAACTCCAGATGACATAGCAGAAAAAATGTTTGAATGCTGTGATAAAAATAAGGACGACAAGTTAACTAAAGAAGAATTTATAACCGCTTTTATGGAGGACCCTGTGTTATTTGCAATATTTTGTCGAAACACAGATGAGGCAGAAGACAATTGAAATATAATCACGTGATATAGGTCATGCGCGTTTTTTATCTGAACTTGTGCGCAATATTGATTTCATTAAAGAAATATATTCTTATTGCATAGATTAAATGAATCAGGAAGCCACGAGCTTGTTAACTTCAGATCGACTCGTTTATTAGACATTCACCTTTCAATGTACCAACAATCAACTAAATAGCTACAGGCATAACAAAAAATGCTGAACTGTAAGATTTCGTAAAGACGAACATATTAAGTAAATTGATATGCACTCTAGACCCTTTAAGTACCGGGTATCATCATGCTTAAAAAACTAACCTGAAATGGACTTTTGATACAATTTTCTATTAGGAGACATGCATTTATAGTCCAGTCAAACTTGCATTCTTACATTCTCTTAGTTGCTCATTCATTACGTTTTGTAGGTTTTGGAAACATTTCCTAAACCTTTACTCAATACAAATTGCTAGACATTAAGATAAGCTATAATGAATGTCAATAGAGCTCTGTCATTCTCTATCCTCCTGAAGGATTTCATATTATACCCCTCGCTACGAAGTATATAGCGTTTGACCCGACCGTCCGTCTGTCATTCAGTCAGTCTGTCTGCCAGTCCATCAGTCCTTTTTATTTCTGGATGCTATCTCAAATACTTTTTTTCGGATTGCAACCTTGCTTCGATATATGGTCCCATATAATGAGAGAAATATCCCTATTGATTTTGAGCTCAAAATGTCAAAGATCAAAGTCGTAGTCACTTACAATAGACTTAAACTTGTTTATAAAAAGGTGGTTTCCAGATGCTAAATCAAAATCTATATGATCTTTCTTAGATGCATTGTCACATATAAAAGAGGAAATTCTCTATTGATTTCGAGGTCAATACTTCAAAGGTGAAAGTCATAATTACAAAACTAGACTGATGTTTTAGTAGAAACATGCTTTCCAGGTGCTAAATCAAATACTTCATATGAAATAACAAACTTTCTTGGACATATGGTCTCTTATGATGATCCATATAGATTTTGATCTCACTATCATATATTAGGTCACGGTCACAGTACCTAAAAAGTGCAGAAAATTGGCTTTAGGATGCATTATATATATATATACATCGGTATTGGCATGATGTATAACAAACCTTTCTAAAATTGTCCGTTAAAAATTCAGAAATTATAAAAAGAAACTAAGGTTTCAACTCCCTCAGGCAAAGATGACCTTAGGAGGATTTGACTATTATTTTTATGTTCTTTTTTGTCACATAGCTCTTCAACTGTTTCGGTTCCTATACATCCTTGGATCTCAAATATTCGGTTTTGAGCGTTCCTGATGAAGGTAATTCCTGAAAAACGCTTCGGACGCATGAAATGTATAAAGTGTTGCTTTCATTTTTTTACAGCACTGGGTTGAACCACTATTGGTGGACTATCAGTACCCCAAAGGGTATCATCAGCTCCGTCAGTATTCAGTACTTCAGTACTAACAGTCAATCATTTCTGATATTGTCCGTTTAGAAATTAGAATCACAAAGAAACTAAGGTTTCAACTCTCTTAGGCGAAGTTAACCTGATATGCATTTGGCTCTTATTTTTAGACCCTTATTGATCACATAGCTCTTCAACTGTTTCGGTTCTTATTCATCCTTAGCTTTCAAATATTCGACATTGAGCGTTGCTGATGAAAGTAAATCCAGAAAAGCGCTTCGGGCGCATGAAATTTTTGAAGTATTGCTTTCATTCTTACAGCACTGGGACGAAACCGCTACTGGTGGGCTATCAGTACCCAAGAGTTTCATCAGCTCAGTAGTCAGTACTTCGGTACTGACATGATTCACAACAAACCTTTTTAAAATTGTCCGTTCAGAAATTTAGAAATTATAATGAAACAAAGGTTTCAACTCCCTCAGGCAAAGTTGACATCAGATCGATTTGGCTATTATTTTTATGTCTTTTTTTGGTCACATAGCTTTTCAACTGTTTTGGTTCTTATACATCCTTGGCTTTCCGACATTCGGTTTTAAGCGTTCTTAATGAAGGTAAATAAAAAAAAGCGCGTCGGACGCATGAAATGTATAAAGTGTTGTGGTAACAAAGACATAGACATAGACATTTTATTAATCCAATTATCGTGCCCTAAATAGAGCAGTACAATCATTCATAACTAAATTAACTGATTCATAAATAAACAAGAACAATGATTATTATAATGAAATATTAAACATAATGGAGCAGGAAAAAAACCTAACTACAAATACAGTACAATATAATTTAAATTGTCTAGCTACCTGGGTAACATATAATTAGAGGACAAAGAGGAAGAACTCTGTTGATTTTAAAGTCACTTGGTCTAAGGTTATAGGTCATACAAAAACAGATTTGTTTTAGACAATATTACTGTCTAGAATCAAACTTTAAACGGAGGCAAGGGGAAAATATAGTCACATAATTCCACAGATTTTTTTTTTCATTTGTCAAAGCCACAATATCTAGTGTTCCCTACCTTCCTAGTCAATAGACTGTCATTGAATACAACGAATCACATGAATTTTAATTTTATGAACAACGTGACCATTGTAGAGGGAACTTCTCTTGCCATTTCGAAGCACATACGTTCTTTCCCTACTTTTATTGGTAATTATTTTACAGTTATGTCCTCTTTCCTCTTTAATGACATTACAGATTTCGAATAACAGTTCAGCACTGAAGTTTTACTTTTCATGATCAACACGACGGCTGCCACCATTTGAGCAGAAACTGCTTACTCCCCCGGATGACCTGCGTTCACTTCACCCACTGTTTTAAGAGGGTTACCGGTGTATATTGCTCAGTATTCAGTTAATATGTCCGTTTTTGTTGGGTTTTTTTATTGTTTGGTCATGGTTATAGCTGTTTCCCTTCGACTTATGCTTTGTGATTGCTCCATTGGTATTCTCTTTTACTTTAACCAAATGGTCTTTAAAGCAAATATTTGTAGCTATATAGACAGCTTTATATATTGAAATCATGCATTGTAACTTGGATGGAGAGTTGTCTCATTGGCACTCATAACACATCTTCCTATATCTATGGATGTATAACCGACGATTTTGATATATCAACATGCAGCTTTTACCTTTAACAAAAATAAAATCCCTGAAAAAGACACTGTGTAGAACAACAAAAACAACACAAAACTTATTAAAAAAAAACAAATTTCACTTAATCTTTATTATCCTTCAAGGTTTACACAGACTGTGACAATGACTTTATTCTAGTTTCTAATTTAAATTGTGTTATTTTGCGCACGTAAAATTAGATTTACCCACCAAGTTTGTGCCTGTACATTTTGCACTGTAACAGGTCAGTTACGGACTTCTAAAAGAGTTGTTACAAGGGTTCTCTTAAACGTGCAGAATACGTTTTACTCTCGCCACAAGAGGCATTAGATTTATCGTCTCAATTCCAAGCTGACGTGACTAAAAATTTATACATTTCGCATGGCCAAACGACCGCCCATCTAGATCTTAAGCCAGGGTTTTACTGTTGCATCGGAGTAGTCCAGGGATCACCATAGAACTTATACCCTAGTCAACCCTTACACTCTATTACCTTTGGAATATATTTTGAATTTCTTTTTATATATAATTAGAAGTTTTATTCTCAAACTTAATTCCTTCTCAAGATCAATCTGTTTTTGACTTTTCATACATTCAAACATATCTTTATTCAATTTGGTGTCATATTTTTGTGAGCTTTATTAAGGATATATGTTTAGTTGTCTAAAAAGGGTATGATAAAAGGCTTACCCTTCAGGATCATATGAGATCACACCCGGATTTTTGTGGGGTTCGTGTTGCTTAGTCTTTAGTTTTCTAGTGTTTTTTACTGTTGACTGGCTTTGTGTCGTTTTTCGCGTTACGCCATTAGGTTGTCGGGTTTTCTTTGACGTATGATTTTTTATTGTCCTTTTGGTATCTTCTGCCTCTTTTTACAAATAAGAGGGACTTTTTATGGTGGCCGGATGCGGCCTTTTCATGTTTCTGCCGTGGATATTTGATAAAGCAATAACTCGAAAATGCAAAATTACGGTTGCCGGATGAGACCATTTTGCGCTTTCGGCTTTTCGCGATGTTACTTTATGAAATATCAACGGCGAAGTCGCAACATCGCTAAATGGCCACATCCCATCACCATAAAAAAAGGTTTTACTGGAATCAAAGATATGGGTTTTTTAGAGAAAATCTCAAATGCAAAATATATCAAAATGTTTTATAAGCAATTGCATGAAATTTTATAATATCCTTGCAAAACAGATGGTATGATTGCAAATGAGACATCTTTCCACCAGAGCCTAAATGACAACGATGTGAACTACATCATGCATGATAGAAAAATAAGTTAAAATTCACAATATAACGACACCTTATGAAGAAGTACATGACGGGATACTATCATAGATTAGTAAATGTAAGAAGAGTCAAATAGTAAACTACTATATGACTGTTGAGCATGGTATACGATTGAACGGGGTTAACTTTTGTGCAGTATTTAGGTTTACTGCAATAAAAGGCAAGATCAAAAGCTAAGAGACTTTCTTGTATAATTTGAAAGTAGCAGTTAAAAGACAAATGAAACACAAAACAGAAATACGTCCTGTGCAAAACACTTGAGAAAAAGACGTTTATTTCCGTATTTTCGTATTAAAATAAAGAGATAAAAAGTAACTAATAAATAAAATCATGAAAAAGTGTAAAATTCTTGTGAAGGTTAAAATTACATATGAATTTCAGAGAATAATTATTTAGATTCTGAAATATTAAATTTGTAATAGAACTATTTTTTATCTAAGTTTTAGAAATTTAAATTCATACTAAGCAGTAATAACTTATCCATATATAAATGTTAACTATACATTTTTGGTCTGAAAAAGGATGTATAAAAATAAAACGATATATTTCAATATAAAACGGTGTATGTCATCGTACGGCAATCAACAATGAGCAAAACCTATACCGTATAAAGGGCCACGGCATGAAAAAATGTGAAACAATTCAAATGAACTGATTTATGCAAAAACAGAAAATCGAAAAGCAAATATGATACACAGCAACCAACGACA